CCCTGCCTCTGGCACTGGCTCCGGCGGATTGCTTGGGGGCGCCTGTGCAAGGGCCAAGAGGGGTCCAAGGAAAGGCTGTACAGTTCAACCTCAAATGCATTCTATCTTAAAAATCTCTGCCACCGGCCCGGCTTTGATGGTATGGCTCTACCACATGAAGGGTCTACCACACCAAAGAATTCTATCTGAAAATTTGTTGCTATTTCAGGTGCAATCTAGAGTGTGGTTGGGCCACATGAGAAGTCATCCAACGTGCGTCCTTTTTCTCTGTTGGTGGACCGGTCAAAAATCATGTCAGATCCCCGATCACTGTGAACATATTTATATATATATATACACATGGAGATTGGATCTGCTTGCAGTTTCAGCCTCGGGGATATCTATATATATATATACAGCAGTCACAATCACTGAGCCCTGACATCTTATAAGTACAATCACACGCCTCTGAAATGGAGTTGGTCCTGGGCCACGGCAAGCGACGACCTCTCTGGATCGCCTGACAAGGGTTGGCGCTTCGAACAAAAAACAGGTCCCCAAAACAACCTCATGAATCATGAACAAATAAACAGGCAACCTCTAGAGCACATCCGGGACGTCTCACAGACACATACAGACACTCACCCAGAAGCTCCCCGAACTTGAGGGCCCGACGGGCTCTGGGGGATTGGGTCCGGCTGCTACTTCAACCTCGCATGGGAAGTGTTGTCGTATCATGGGCACAGCAACAAATACATATATAATCATATATATATATATGTAATATATATATATTTGTATATATATATATATATGTACTCGTGCACAAGAGGGCATTCCAACTTAAGATTTTGATGCCAGTGCAGGTATGCTCTGTCAGGCCACAAAAGCCTCCCCAAACAACCTCATGAATCACGAACGGGTAAACATGGCATGGCACCTCTAGAGCACATCCGGGACGTCTCACAAAAACACGTACACACGCAGAAGCACCCCGAACTTGAGGGCCCGTACTTCCGGCACGGGCTCTGGCAGATTGGGTCTGGCTGCGACTTCAACCTCGCATGGGAAGCGTTGGCGTACCATAGGCAACAGCAACAAATACATAATATATATATATATACATACATACTTACTTACATACATACTATATATATATATATATGGGTAAAAAGCCTACATGTAAAACAAGTAACGGCGGTTGAATCAGCCGGCTGCATGGACTCCTCCACCTTTTGGCTCACATGGGCTCTTGGTACCATATCCTTACTCCAGCAGGATAAAAGCCAGTGTCCAAACAGAATGTGGGATCTCTACACAGAATGGGGCAGCGAACTCCAAAACATAAAAAGTATATGCTTCCCAGGTCAAAGCAGCATCTGGTGGCAGCCTCATTGTGCCCCCGGCTGTTGGAATCAAGAGGTCGAAATGACCCATCTTCCTCCCGCCTGTAGCGTCATCTACCCAAGCAAAATGCAAATGAGCGTACACATCGCTGGAGGGGTTGTTGCCGAAGATGGAATCCTGTTTTACGCCAGGAAAATGCTCGCGGACTTTATCATAGACATCTGCCTTGATGGTACATCTGATGTTGATGTCAAGCGCTGCTGCAACCCAAGCCAAATCTTGGACGAAGATTGCAGGGTCTGATCGCACCCTCTGCACACTGTCCCGGCAAGCTGGCTGCTGCTCCCAAGCCAGCTCACCTCAACCCACAACCGCATGAACGATTCATAGGGTGGCTGGTTCCCATTCTTTGCGTTTGTTCTATTGTTTTGATGACCACTATATATATCATTTTGAAGGGGATTTCCTTCAAATGAATGTTAGAATGTGTCAAGTGTGTGGCGTGCAAAATGTTGCAAATTTCAGGCAAACACTCCAGTGTGACAGCACCTAGTGACACACTTCCATGCACAGCTCGCTCGATTCTTGAACTTCTTGCGCATTCATTGTTTGGTTGCGCGGGTAATGGGCATCGTTCCTTCCGGAAATGCAAGGACGTTGCAACTGGTGCTTTCAACACACATTTACCAACAATGCCTATGTCAAGAATATATATATATATACAGAGAGAGATAAGTAAATATGATCTACAGTATACGTATGTGGACACATTCTAACTGCGCAAAAACCTCTATCTCTATATATATATACAGTACACATGCAGGGTCCTCGGCAATCTCTGGAACGCGTCCACATCAGATGCAGCTAATAGGGCCCGCCAGGCGCAACGTCCATCCCCTGCTACTGGTATGAGTTGAAAAGGCACCATCTGCATCTCTGGCTGAACCCTCATCACTTCGGTAGTTCTTTCAACAATGCTCTTCACTATGGCTTTGTATACATGTTGCCGTTGAGTTTCAAGCAAATAATCCACCCAAACTATGTTGCCCAAGCGGTTTGCCTTGGAGTAACTGAAACATGGTTGGCAAGCTGCCAACCCACCTTCGGCAGCCAACCGCCAGCAAAACAATTTGAGGAGATCATCCTTGGGTACCTGGGCGCTGGCCAGTGGTGATGGTGTAATATGTTTGATTCCTATGCATTAAGAAGTTAACCCACCTAACTTTATTGACCAATGTGTTTACACCAGGAACCGCAAACACATTACAATGTTAGAATGCTCCACTGAATAGCCCAGCTACGCCAACACAAATGCTTTGGGTGATGCCAAAAACCCGTTCAATGTCAGTGAGGAATTGTAGGGCACGTTCCCGATCGGCATTCATGTCCTCCGACTGGCTTAGAACAGCACCACACACCTGCGCGCCCTCTTCCTTGCACACCTGGGACACGCGTGGGTCACTCAAAAGATCCATCCAGTTGTAGCCAACCACGATTGAAACGGCAGCAGAGCCCCCACTCCGCTTGTGGTCAATCCCGAGCAACACGCCCACAATGTTGGCATTGCGGGTTTCCCAACATTGGAAGCTGGCAATGGCGGCTTTCGGAAGCAAAACTTTGGCCTCATCCAAGCGTGGGCCTTCAGGCCGTTCTGCCCTGGGACGAAGGATTTCGCTCGTGACATTCTGTGCCAATGCAAGGTTAGCAGGGGCACTGGAGCCAACCAAATCATCGAGGTTGTCGCTGCCAAGATGCTTTAGATCATGCGCAGTGGAGATAGAAGCCTGAGATTTCACCATGAAACCCGAAAAAAAAAACAGATAGAATGCCCCTACATATGCATCCTAAACCTTCCCCAAGGCTTTGTGGCCAACTGTGCCTTATATACTCATATGAAAGCTGAAACAATATTCATCTCGGGAGCTGTAGCCCCAGGAATCTTTTTCTCAATGACTTTCAGTCCCTTTTTCAACTGGCCACCCTCAAGGGATGCTTGCATTTGTTGAATCCAGGAGATACAGGTCGTCAATGAAGGAAAAACTTTTGAGATGGTTTGGTCACCAGCGTTGAAAGCGCCCAGAAATGAGAAGACCTTGTTCTCACCAATGAGTGTGATCGTGCCGCGGGGACAAGGGGAACAAGCAGAGGCCAAAGCTTCTTCCACACATCCTGAGGTGCATCACAAAACACACAAAAACACTCAAAAAGCAAGAACATCAAAAACACAAAGAGCCAGTGCCCTCTTCAAACAATTGGTTGAATCTGATGAAGTCGCACCCTCCCACGAGTGCAGTTAGAATGCCTGGTGATCATCAACTAAGCCTCTCGCTCAACTCAGATCTAGCTGCCATCTCGGCCATGTAGCGCTTCTTGTCAGCAACTGTACGGCCCTTCAATGTAATGTGGAGTGATTGTATCCATGCATCGCGCTCCTCAAAGGGGAATGTCTGCAATTTGGAGGGAAGTCTTATCTCTCTGATATGTCATTATATATATATATATCAATATAATGGCCAGTGCTGGAACAGGGCCACAAACTATCGATTTGAACACGCAGACACTTTTGCATAATCACGATCTGGTTCGTGTCCTTCCCGCGTGTCAACTCAAAGCGTGCCAGCAAAGAAGAGAGCTTGTCGTGGTATTTGCAAGCAGCTGCTTGAGCCAGTGATTGCCCTCCCCAGGCATTGAAGGGGAATTTGCGAATTGCCGATCCCAATGCAACCGCAAACCTTGCAGTGTAGCTTTCCCCAGACATGCAAAAACTCTTTCAAATCCCTTATATACAAGATATATACAGACACACTTTCAAAACCCGTTCAAAACCGTGAAAATGCATATGTAAAACTCTTGAGAATTGAATCATGGACACATTCTAACATTTCTCTCCGCCTGGAAAGAAAAATAAAACGGTATCTTAGAATGGTCAAGTGGCTCCTTCTTGTTCTGCTTGATATCCGATGGCAACTGGCTAGCAGCTTCGCGTCCTGCAAGTGGGCTTACGGGACTTGCAGGTACTTCATCTTCAAATTCAGGCGGATCTCGAGGTGGAGGCATAGGCGGTGGATCTTCTTGGCCAGGGCCTGCAGGTTCCAAAAAATACTTGGCTTTCGTTCCCTGCAATAACCTCTGAAACACCAACACTGGTGACCTCTTTCAAACAATGAAACACCTCTAGCAGCACCTCAAATCAAGCACCCCTATCAACCCCTCAAACGCCAGTGGCGATTTTCACCACCCTTGGGCCTCGCAAAAGCAACTCAGCGCTCAAAGTTGCCATTGCCAGGAAGCTGGAAGGATAAGATGGCCAACACCCACACACTGTGATCAATATATCAATACTGTATATGCATACATATTTGTGGGGACGTGCTTGTTTTTTTCAGTCTATATATATATATACATGCACTTCATCCAAAGTCACGTCACGATTTTGAGCCATCTTTGATGCGTTCGAACATGTTCCAATCATCTTGAAACATTCGAACCCCAGAGGCATTCTAACACTGGGAGGTTAGAATGACGGCCGTTTGCCGGGACCCGTGGCTGGATTTGCATCCGCTTGCCGCGCTGCCATATGCATTCTAACTTTCAGTCCGCGGGTATATATATATATATATATATCAAACCTTGACATATGAAGAGGTCATCTACCCAACTCACCGACTCGCGTCCTGAGTTTCGCAACATGGCTCGCCCGTCGCGCAAGCTTCTGCAGCCGTCCAGCAGCCATTGGTGGCTCCTGCCATCAGCTTCTGTCGCGGCGGTTTGTTCCACAGCGAACGCTCAGAAACCAGCGGTCTCCAACCTAATATCCGTGAACCAGAAAGTGAACTGACAGGCCAATAACGAAAAAGAATCAAGTAGAAAATGTCATCAAGCAAACAACCGTCAGGATTGTGGGATTTCTTTTCAAGTCAAACCCATTTTGTCCCATTTTTGTGTTGTTGATCAGTCTGAGTCTAATTGTGTGCTTGTGTTGCACATGTTCACTTCGTGGAAATATGTCACCAGAATTCTGGCCCCACAATGTCAAACAAAAGCCAAACGGGCCAAGCGTCTACAAAAGGAGGAGCCACTGATTTCGCCGCCTACTCATGTGGCCCACTCACTCACTCGACCGTCACTGCTCTCATCCGAAAACGACGAGTACGATCTACTCGTTGCATCAGTAGATAGATGAGCTGCTGATACAGTCGTTCGTCCTCCTGCAGCACACTGTCCCATTGGCGATTTCGGGGTCACTTCGTCCAAGAAATGTGGCGAACACGTGGCAAAAACGATGGCCATGGTGAACGTTTCAGCACACCACAGCGCGCGAGGACGAGGACAGTGAGAACAAACAGCGAGAACATCGCCAGCGGTGAGACTCTTTTTTGTGTCAGGACTGTACCGTGCCAATGCATATTGCCAGCTGCTGCGTACGTACAATTCCAACTGATCAAAGCAAATGAAGAGGATCCTCCAACCTAATTGGGTTTGCATGGTTTTACAGCCTTGCAACTCATGTCACAACCCGTGTTACGCTGATCTGCTCTCCCCGGGAAGTCCAACAAACCTGTAATAGGCTTCACGTTCCATCTACTCTTTCCGATTGACCCCCCCCCGTAGCGCTAGCAATACCAGTCCTCCACATCAACGACATCCATCTGCTCTTGAACCGGAGGCTGGAGCTGGGATCCTTGTGCCTTCCCGGTGAACAAAGGTCAATTGGTGTGAGAAAACCTTGTGAACCAACAAAGGGTCAACCGGTTTGATAGCCAAGCTCTCTTTTGAGTATCTTATTAGTTGAGAATCCTCCTGTGTGGTCTAATTGGAGCACATCTACACCCTGAACTGGCAATCCTTGGTATCCGGAACATAGTTTTCTAGGGTTGTACTGTCCGCTTGTTTGCAGTTGTGTTATCAAATAGGATCCCACCCGCCCACACAAGCATGAAACTAATTAGCAAAAACAATAATAGGCATCCGGCATACATGACTTCAAGGGTCTGTCTATCAAATGTTGACAAACGCTGCTCCACTGCTGACGAAATCTCACGAACCATCGCGGCCTGGGCCCTGGCCTTTGCTGCCTGATTCCACACATGCGACAGGGACGAATGGGGCACCAGCATCACCCAACTGTCTTCTGACGAGCAAAAAGGACAACTCTGGGTCCCTGCAACTCTGGCCACAGCAACAAGCATGTGAATGAACAAACCTGAGACCAATGTATGTGCCTCACTGACTAATTTGGGTGATCCGCTTTAAAGAATGTGCGCCGCCAAGGCGCCAATGCACGCATGGCACCATCCACATGCAACGCCTCCTGTGGGCGTGGTTACCCTGAGTTTGACAGTTATGGCAAAGCCAGCCCCATGCTCCCAAAAACTCTGAGGCACCTAGCTGATTCACGGAGAGGACAACTCGCTTAGACCCACACTCAGAGAACAAACGCAATTTGTGGATACCTTGTGACACTTTTCTGCGTGAATCTAACCACGCGTCAATCAGCTACAGGCAGTTAAGGCCAGCCCTTCCACTTCAGGTCAGACAAAAAGTCTTTAGATACATCACCTGGTGTAAAGGAAACATCAATCTGCTACAAAAGTGGGTCTATGTGGCACTTTTCTTTGACATCAACCGCTCCTGTGCTGCAGCACAGCAGCAGCAACACAACCAGGTCCCGAAGCTCCAGAAGCGCGACACCATGGAGTTGGGGATCCCAAAGACGACCTCATCCAGACTTGTTGGAAAAGGACGAGACGGCACGGGCCGTCTCTGAGTCAAAAAGGGCCGTATGTGACAACGAAGATGGACATTCAGAACGCTCACCCATGATTTGGGATGAACACATGATTAGACCAGGGAATGGGAGGATGCCTGTGAAGCTGCCTTACATGGCCTTACTAAAGCAAACGCAGCCATATTGGTTAAATCTGAGGGCATCTGCTTCAATAATATGCAAAGAACAAAACAACTTAAACAATTATCAAATGCAAAAGAAACATATACTGTATGAGATGGTGAGAAATTGCGACTGTCGATGGATGCTGCAACACCTGAAATGAAACCTGCAAAAGAATGCACACATGCACAGATCAGATATGCATGTGTCCCATCTTGAGTGGCTTTCCGGATTCTTGCCCACAACAGAGGTGCCCCTTCAAGTTAAAAAATGAAGTCCACCACTAGCACACAACTATTTCTTGCAAAGCTGTGTAAAGCTAGGACCAAACCAGCAACGGGGTAGTAGACCTCCTCGGCCAAAAGACTGCCATGCGCGAGCGCATCTGGCAGCCCAGGCATGACCAGCAAACCGGTCCAAAGATGCAACAGCTGAGGAATCCTGCGATCACACGAAGCCAAGAAAAGATCCGAACCCAGAAAATAGGGCTTTCGCCCCTGTACATTATTTACATGAAGGTCTGTAAGCGTGTGAAGAATGCACAGTTGTATGGTGCACGGGAGGACTCGACCCCCCAAAATCTTCTGATGCTCTTGCTAGCCATTGTCCTGTGTTTTTGAGAGTCTACAGCTGGCGTAGGTCTCAGCTGTTGGGAATCAGGTGTCCAAGCATCCCAAATAGAATGGTCTGATCAATTAAACATTTGCATTGTCTCTACTACTCTGCTCCTTCACCTCAAGTAGAGTGTTCCCTTCGTCCACCACGAACATTTGTGAGTCCAACCAGAAAGCACCAGAACCTCTGGGAGTCTGGGAGGCCCTGGCCTTTCAAACACCGAAGCTGAAGCTGGGACTGAAACTGTTGATGCGATCGGTCATACCAAATACACGTCAAACAAAACATGCTATGAGAGGTCATACCGTATAGCTACGCCCCCGATACCAAGACCGTCACCCTGTCCAAGATGATAGGAAAGCGCACCACTGCGAGACCAGGTCATGGGCACTCGCAAACAGGGACAGCAACAAAGGCAGCACAGGGTGCCAACACCTTGGCCAAACGAAGTGCGTTCTGCGAGCAGCGCCCAGGTAACGGTAACAGTGCCGTAGGAAGAGTGAAGGGATGGGTTTGTTAATGTTGCTAAGGATACCAAGCACCTACCGAAGGGGAACATCTGCGGTTGCTCTTGTTGCACAAACCCTATGGACATGATGCTTGCAAATGCTCGTAATTGAGGCAGTAGAAAACAACAAAATCCTCCCGACGCTGGGACCAGATCATGTGTTTATCAAGTGCTCAGAATCCTCCAAATCTATAAGTCTGATTAAGTCTGTATCTCTTCCAGAAATGGTTGTCCAAGTTGTCCCCGAAAGGCATCTTCCACGAACAAAAGAACATTCAGTTTGTATCAATTTGTAGCTTGACTGCATATTGCCTCTGGCAAACAAATAACACAAACGAAGCGAACTTAATCTCTTGAGTCATCGTCCACTGGTCCACAGGTCTCTCCCAAATGCACAAGACCTCTCAGTCGACCTGTACCAGTAGTCAGTGTTGGCTTATTGTCTAGAGCACCTCATAGAGATGGCCTCCGCCTAGTGGCTTCTTGCTACTAGTAGCGATGTTTTGGGTCGCCCCAAAGGATCCAAACATCGCTCCACTGCGGTGCCGCCGACCACGTAGCGACCGACCTCGCAGGTAGGTCGTGCAGACCGAGGAGCTGGAGACTCTGAAGGGCGACACCCGCCATGCGTGGCGGTGCGTCGCAGGGATCATGTCCACCGAATGGAGGCTCATCTCATCCCAGCTGCCTGGGACGGAATACGATAGACAAATTAGACAGTTAAACAGTAAACATCAAAAAACAACTGAGAGGATGTTCCACTGGAACGTTCTCTGGAACGGGATGTATTACAATGAACTATACTGTATACCTATTGACATTAAATCCGTCAAGTACTTCAGGCTGACTACAGTACCTTCGGCAAGGACAACACAATTATGAGGACCATTGAGGACCAATCAACCATTCCCATTTATTGGCAAAAGAGTTCTCTGGTGGCCAAAGGTGTCGTTCGTTCATGTTTGGCAGGTTTGGATCAGTCTGGTACCTTGGTGAAATAGAACATTCGGGCAAATGGCCGAATGCCCACGAGCATCAGAATTCAGCAAATATACCCCAAGCTTCCCCGAACCAGTCCATGGGACACGTCTTCTTGATTGGGACAATGGAGTATGCTCAGTTGGATCTCTTCACAGACTTATTATTCTGAGTCGAGGCTTTCCTGGTCGCGTGTGGCCGCAGCCCTGTGGTTTGCCCGGGCGCGCCTTCTTCCAGGGCTGAGTATCGCTGCACCCAGCAGCGAAAGTGGATGAAGGCAATGATGGTATTGACCTGGGCACCAACCCGACACAAGTAGCAGGAAGAAGTCTTCTGTTCATGGGGTTCGGCCCCGCCGAAATCACAGATTGAGCTAGCCTTGCGTGCTTAGTGCCAATGTGATAGCTTGCGCACACCATCTGCGCACCAACATGAAATACGGTGACACATCATCTATTTGAGTTGGTATTCTGAGAACCTGCCCATAAGGAAAACAGTGAAAACGTCTTAGCGCAACATTGCAGGGCACAAATTTGCTGTGCAATTCGCCGAGCAACAAGCCCCAAGGTCAGTAGAGCCAGAGCCAAGACCGTCAAGTCGGTCGCCAAGCCACTTTCAAGCCTCTTCGGACGTCAAACCCGCAACCAATTCAAAAGGTCATGTCTGTCACGTCGTAAGCTGCGAAGCTGCGAACAAAAGTGTTTGTTGAACAAAGAACAACACATCCCAGGAGTCACAAGACGGGGTGGTGTTTAGTTCCATCCCGTGAGTGGATGTTCTGGCACCCCTAACCTCCATGGATAGCACCCCGTCTTGTGACTGCTGGTTCGAACACCGCGCCGAGTGTGGCCGCTCGGCCTTGAAGCCCCCTCTGGCCATGTTCGGATCGGATCAGCAGCGTCAGCGTCTTTTCGACGAGGGTCCGGAGTATTTAATGGCACTCCCCGCGAAGTGCCGTGGAAAACCGCTGAGTGGAAAGCCCAAGTTGATAGCCACTGAAGGTTGAACCACTGCAAATGAGGCCAAGAGAGGCCAACTGGTGGTGAACATGTTGGACAAATGGGCCAAACATAGTGGTCCATGCAACGAACGGATGACGTCCCGTCACTTCCCTTTACTTCCAAGCTCCGACCTTTACTTCCAAGCTAAACGGATACAAACCTTGAGCCGCAGCATCCATTCATGTAAACCATGGACAACATTCCAGCCAAAAGTACTTGAAGGATCTTGGATAGATATGCAGCACAAAACCATATTGGAACAGGCATTTCCCAGGGCTCTCAAATCTCAGATGTTGCCACATTTGAAAACCGTTTGGCAGCTCAACCGCCTTTTCCTCACCATGTTGGCCCAGAACCTACGCCCGCAACGGTCCACCGTCCATCCCCCTAAGAGATCAATCGGATGGACCTGGCAGCCAGCAGGAGTCGCAGGTCTTGCAGAACGCCCAAGGGCAAAAAGTCCAAGAAGCCATCGCTGTATGGAAAGCCTCCGAGGGAAGAAACGAATCGAAGGATTTTGAGATATTTTGAGTGTGCGATGAATAGAAACGCAAGATGAAAGATGAGATTCATGCCTCGTGAAGAAGACTAGATGTGCACCGAGTTGATACAAAAAGGCAATGGTGTGTGTTGGGTAGAGAGTAGAGAGTGGCCTTTACCCGCTTTCAGTCCATTGGGAAAAGGACACCGGCTGAAAAGGCAGGAAAAAGAGACCGTCTTGGTGCAGATTACAAAGTACGTGCTAGACTTCTTGAGATATCTTGAGAAAACACAGAAGTCTTGGATACGATCAAATGCTCAATCTGTTTGCTTAGAAGTATATTGGAAAATCTCGAATGCAGCTGAGAAATTCTAGGCCCTCAGGAATTCCGACCAGTAGGGAACATGGAATCTTAGTCCTTTGATATCATTTGCGCTGAGTAATTAATTTGTGCTCCAGGCAATTCTGAAAGGTATCATAAGGTATCTAATACTTTGCCTAGAGTAATTATAGTGTTTTGGGGTCTTCATTGTTGAGGCATTGATTGGATGCTTCTTTGCCTCATTTAACAGGGCGACTCCGACTCCCAAACCCAAACATGGAGCAAGAGAAGCCCTGCTTTCAATAATTCAATCCAATGCTCACTCACTCATCACCAGCTCATCACCATCCGCAGAACCCCCACACACTGCTTTCTCTCGCACTAGGACGCTGTGGCACTGGCCTACCAATGCAAATAGAGACAGCAACTGGCTATCTACAAACAAGCCGTGGCTTCATTCACGCTGAAGCAAGTGAAGCCTGCCTGCATCCTATTGAACCGGCGCAGGGACAAAGGCATTGATCTGCACAAATCCGTGCATTGACAACGGATCCGTTGGTCATCTGCTACTAGTCGTAATGCCCTTGTTACTAGTAGCTTCTTGTTCCTAGTAATGGCCTCCAACCTAATAGCGATGGCCTCCACCTAGTAGCTTCTTGCTACTTGGCACTTCGAATCCGTTGGATCAGCTCGGCTTTTCGGCCAGAAACGGGCAAATTCATCGCCCGTAATTTGTCCTTGAGCTCAATGATCGACATCGTCTCCAGTCCATCTTCCTCTTTCTCATCTTCTTCATCTTCCTCTTCATCGTCTTCTTCCTCCGGATCTTTTACTTTGACCTTCTTCACCTGGCCTTCCTCGGCCTTCTTCTTCCGGGCCTCTTCCTCGGCCCATTTCCGTTCACTCTCCTCAAAGGCTTTCCGCCTCAAAGGCTAACCACCGGTGCTTCAATTGACGTTCGAAACATGCTGATGCCTCCCCCAATTCTTAGAGGCATCTGTCTAGGCATCTGTCTTAGAGGTCATGACACTCCGAACTTTCCTGGACCTCAAGGATTGCAATTTCTACTCCATGTACAGCATTTAGGTCTTTGAATGTCTTTGGAATTGCCAGTTGCCTATGTACAGTGCTTGAAACCTGGGAAGACGTCTCGTGCTCACTCTCACTATCTGCCAGCCCGCCACCATATTCCAGCCACCAATAAAACCAACCGAACCCTCAGCCATCACACCCATCACCCTTCAACCAGCCGTCCATCCACTCTGCGTCGACTTTTCCAGAGGGCCTCTCTTCTTCCATCTTCTTTCGTTCGGCCTCCTTCGCTCGGAAGTCCTTCCAGCGCTCGGCGTCCTGTTGCCGCTCCTCCTGGTGGAGATAAGAAGACCGACCAGGGTAGACTGCATCATCATGGCCAATGTTCATGCAAAAGCAATAGTCTGTTGCTGTGATTTGTCTTTCCTGAAGGGAAACACTTCTCCTGGAAAACGGATAACGAGGCTGCGAGACCGAGTTGCATGCTTCTTCCTGATTATTCATTGACCATTCATTGACCATATTATCATAGTATTTAATCATTCAAATATATCAAATATATTTAAATACCTGTATTTAAGTTTGCTTAATGAGTGTGTTTGATAAGCTTATTAAAGTTAACGATGTGCAGCCATTCTGGCCTTGAATTCCTCTCGTGCTGAGGACATGGGGCACTAAACAAAAGCACTCCTCCATCCTGTTACCTCTGTTGATCATGAGGAGGGCCTGCCTGCTACGTGCCTTTCAATGCCCCCTCAGAACCGTTGTTGAGTTGGTGCAAAACACCTAAAGAAAACCGTCAAAGCACGCCAAGCAGAACATCGGCATTTCCGCATTTCTCTTCGTTTGGGTGTTGGCACAACCGGCGCATCGGTATCTTTTGACACCCCAGTGCTGGTGTGCTGCGGAAAAAGACTCGACTAGACTAGACGTTTTCAAAGGTGATCGCCTCCTTAAGCAGTAGATAAAGCTTGAATGTTGCAGAGCTGTGAGGAAACAAGAAGCTAGACATTTCATACCCCGCTGAAGAGAACTGAGGACCACATGGACCCTAAAAAACACACCATGTGTGGTGGAAAACTGTCTTTGAGGGTGCCATTCTCAGGTCCATGTTAGTTTACGACAGTGTATGTCACTGAAAGAAGGCCTCCTTCTCCTAGTTGTTCATTCGGGGATCAAGGTTCCAGTATTTGCAGCAAGTGTTGATGGAATTTGATGGAAATGGATGGAAACACTCGATCTCATTAAATTAATTATTCATGATGTTCCCTTTCTGGGCAACAAAACAAGGGCAACGAAACGACTCTCTTAGAAGGTTCAACTCCTACGGACTCTGAGAAACTTGCGATGTGAGTAGGAGATCTGGGGACTCCTCCAACATGCTCCGACCCATCCTTCATCTTCCAGGCATTGGGCTCTCTCCCCGACGGCTGAGGACAACTAAACTGATGGAAAACTGTATGTCCGGGTTGCGCAGTGGAACCCCTAGTAGCGTCCTTGCTCCTAGTAGCGATGCCTTTGAATCCGGAACGAAAGGGCTAAGTTGCTGGTATAAAGATCTTTTGATCAATTGACCTCTGTTGCTCCCGGTGGTGACTGAATCTCTTGGGTCCCGTAGTTATAGTTGATGGATACAGCATAATTGGGTGGGAGGACCGAGGCACAAGAGCCAGAAGGATCCACATGGGCAAGGGATAGCAAGGTGGTAGTTCCAGATCAGTGACGCCACATTCGTCACAAAAGCATGCAGGCGAACGTAGTGCTGCTTGCACGGCCGGTTCCGGATGTGTTTCTGAGGAAGTCAGGGGAAAGCTCAGGAAAGGAATGGGAGGAGCATACTGAAGCCCTTCGAGAATCTGAAGCCCTTTGCAGGTCCAACTACTGACTGATACCACTGTAGGCTATCCAGAGTCTTGCTGCAATATATATTTTCTTTTCACACAGTGGAAGGGGTGATCTCCAGAATATGCAAAAGCCCTACAGCAAGATACAGCAAGCTGTGAGGACTTCTAGGACATTGCGCCTTCGCGGACTGACTGTAGGACATGGCGCGCCAAATGGCTGAGCTGGTCGACGCAAATCGCTTCAGATGTTTCTAGAGGTACAACTCCCCTTGGATGACCAGTCCACCTAACACCACGATGATTCGGAGTGTACCGCTGATCTTCGGGTCAATGGTCAGGTTCGGGGGCCTCAACCACCCAATACTTGGACGGCTCTGTTTCTTCACATCCCCGGAGAAAAAAAAAAACATAGTGACACTCATCACTTGGACGGAAGTACCCGGACCCGATGGAGTCACTGGGACGTCTCCGGATCTCCTGAGTGATCTCGAAGGCATCCTGTGGAGGACCCTGACGCCAAAACATCTCCTGGGAACAACTCGTGGCCGAGTTGGCTTCATTTCGGTTATATCATTGGTCACTCAGTTCAAAGGTTGGCGAGAAAGAATTAAGAAGTTGGAAGGCAAAAACTACTCTTGGCCAACACTCAATACACATGTTACAATAGATGTGGAATGTGGAATGCTAAACTCATGAATTACAGGTGCATTAAATGACACAATTACATGCTATTGAATGTCCAGATCCCATATGATGGAATCAATTGTCAAAACTCTCAAATCCCTGGACATTCGCATGTTGCCTGATCTCGACGAAACATCCGCATCACGGTGGTAAAAGGGGTGTCCTCCTCGGTGTACTCCTTCGGGAAGGGTCCCTTGATCACGAAGTTCAGCTCCGGATCCGACTCGTTCCCCACGTAGTCTGGCTCCGGGGCCGGCTCCTCTGGCCACCAGTCCTCCACCCACTTGGGCATCTCGATCTTCTCAGGGTTCTTAGGCTTCCGAAGATCTCGATACCAACACTTCATCTCATATGCATCCTGAGCTTCTCTCACGACGAAGCTAAACCACGACCAATACGGTTTATACCTGTTTTCCTGCCTTTTGTTTTCCACAGGCTTCGGGTCGTGGGTTTGGGTACTTGGTGCTTGGTGAGCACCAAATCAAGCACCTCAAGCTACCCAATGCGGAGCGCCCGGAGCCCCTCTCACTCACTCAACCTGGTAGGTTGACCTCCCAGCGTGTCGTCTATCGTCGAAAGACCAGGGTCCCCCCGTGCCATCCTCGGTGGTCGACCCGTCTCAACAGACCCAGCAACCGGTCCAGACATTCCAAAGGGGATTTCTTTCGAAGAGTTCTCACTCACCAAAGCTAAGAAGGACTCAGCATGTCAATGTGGGAATTCAAAAAACATGTGAATGAAACCATGATCATATGTCTACCAGCTTTTCTTGGAGATAGTCGGGGTGCCCCTGTCACATCCACTTACTGGAACTGGTGCGCCCAGCCGGTCCCTCTCTGCGCCGCGCCACAGAGTCGAACTTCACACGGAAGGACCCGTCGTTGGGCCGCTCGTCGGTCGGCGCACGTGACACGCGCGCGGAGACCCATGAGCCGCTCCGTTGGACTTCCACCAGATCTCCCAGGAAGAACCTCAGCTTCTTGTTCCTAGTAGTAAGGCCAGGAGCGCCCCGTTCGTAGCGTCCGATCGCTCCGTTCGCAGCGATGCCCTTTGTTACTTGTAGCGTCCTTCACTGGACATATTTACATATCTCCGAATTCACCAAGGGTTTGTTTTGGCAGAGGG